GCTGATGTTTCATGCGGTGTATTCTGATCGTGTCTACTATTTGTTTGATTGGTGTTGTGTCTCTGGTAATCACTTGGTTGGTTTCTATATTGTGGTCTACTCCTATTTGTATTGTTGTGTCTTATTGGACTAGTGTTGGGTGATGTTCTCTGATATGATTGTTGTGAATGTCCTAAATCTCTATGTAATTTCCTACACTCATATTTTTTGTGACCTGGAATGTCACAGTAGAAACATTTGTTGTTGTTTGAGTAATTAGCATATGTCTGGTAATTATTTTGATAATTTTTCTGAAATTTATTATTTTGCCATCTGGCAGGTAGGCTTTGGTATCTTCTGTTTTGATATGTGTTTTGTTTTTGTGTGTCCCTATCACTGGGTATGTTTCTAATGGAGGCTAGTGTGCTATTTCTATTATCTAGCTCTTCATTGGGGTGAGCATCTTTAAATGTTGTGATTGAGTCAACTAAATCACGCTCATTTTTAATCTTTCTCTCTTTAAGGAATGAAAATAAAGGAACTGATGCATTTCTTAATATTTTGTGTATAATAAACATATCTAGTAATGCTTTGGGATCATTTAGGTCAATTTCAGTTAGTTCAAGCCATTTGACAAGATTGTCTCTAATATTGAATATGGTGGTGTTAGGGTCTACTTCTCTCTCTAGTCTTATGTTATGAAAATTTTGTCTGTAAATGTCTTCTGTGTTTCCATAAAACTTTAACAAAACTTTCTTTATGTAGGTATAATTGTTCTTTTGTTCTTCACTAAGTGAATTGATAATGCTTAAGCTTTTTCCTGATAATCTGCTCAATAAAATATTTGCCCAAGTTTCTTCCCTATAATTGTAAGACTGACAGATGCCCTCAAATTGTGACAAATAACTAATAATTTCCTCTTTATGTTCATTAAATTCTCTAAATTTGGGTTTGTATGTGCTATTGGTTTCTCTATTGCTTGTTGATGGTGTATGCTGTCCTGATTCTATTCTAGCTCTTTCTAGATTTAGCTCTTCCTCTCTTAATTTTATATCTTCTATTTCCTTTTGTCCTTTTAATTTTAGTTCTTCTATTTCCTTTTGTCCTTTTAATTTTAGTTCCTCTATTTGTTTAAGGTCGCTTCTCTCTAACATTCTAGCTTCTCGGTCTTTGTCTTTGTCTTGTCTGTCTTTGTCTTTGTCTTGTCTGTCTTTGTCTTCTTTCTGTCTTTGACTATCTCTCTCCTTGTCTCTTTCCTGTTTGTTCCGTATTTTGTCCATCTCCCTAGTTACGAAGTCCGCTAAATTCTCCTGTCTTATGCCAAGCTTTTCAGCTACATCTAATAGTTCTAAGTACTCTGCCATTTTGAATTAGTATGTTTTTGAGTAACTAAAATAATATATTGGTATGTATAAGTATGTCAGTTATTTCTTATTGAGTTATCAATTAAAATAGTTCACAATATTACATAATATTTACATGTTCATGAATGAATTCACAATGCAAGTTAATAATTAATTAAATGTAAGAAAAATTTAAAAATAATTAAATTGTCTACTTCACAACATAAATACAGATATGTAGACGTTTACATGAATACAAATGAGACAACAAATACAAAAGTACTGTGTAGTTTATGGACCACAAGATAGTAGAAAATATGACAGTAGGTTGACAATATGTATAACAATGACAAGACAAATAGCACAAATATGACAAGATCTACTAAAAAACAACAGTTATGACAATGTACAAACTAGACTTCACAGCTAACACAGAATTATCCTACAGTGTTATAAATAGGGCCAGAAGAAACCTTTACTGTTTTAATAAAAAAACTTCCCTAGGAAAGATAACACCGTGGATATCCCTAAAGTATACTCTAAAATTAAACTTATAATATACAGAAAAAGTAAAACAATTTACTTAATCTAATTAAGTATGTAATAAGTAGATTTTTAAAGTCTTAAATTATAAATAATACATAACACATAATATAAATAAATACCAAGTGAAAGTGTCCAAAAGAAATCTGTAGTTGGTCACCTCTGCTCCTCTGTGACGTTATGATTTCTGTGTAGTCGATAATCCTATGTAGTAGATAATCCTTCTATGGAGTAGATAATCCTTCTCTGTAGAAGTGTACTTGGGTAAAATAATCCAATGAGAAAAGTTACAACACAAATTGCTGCAATAATCCAATGCAAGTACCTTGCGTAATAGTGTAATTGTGATAATCCAATAATTGAAAATTGTCTACCTTCTCTCCGATTCTGTTGAACTTGTGAGTAATTGAGGAATGACTTGAAGAATTATTTGACTTGAATTGCGCACTAGGCTATGTGCGGCTTATATAAAGTAAAGATTATGCTGGGGAAATCTTACTTCCGATGTCTTGATAAAACATCTCATCTGTAATGACGTCAGACTTCTGTTGGTCTTGTGTAGTGGATCATCTCTTTCGTTGACTAATAACTGTAAAATAGATTTCTTGCTGTTTCTTCCACGAGAATATTCACTCCACTGTTATATAATTGAAGCAGTGTACCAGTTAGCTGTTTGAACTCTGAACTTTTGACTCCCGTGACTGACCTAAATTCAATCGTTGTCAGCTTGCTCTGTGTGTCGTGGACTCGTCTCAGACTTGATATGATACACGGGCGTAATGACGTTCGATGTATGTTTCCGCTCGAATGTTAAAATATATCGTTGCTACTCAATGTTCTGTAATACATCGTTGTTCTGACACTTCTGACACCATTTGTAACACATCTACTCTGACATGGCTGGGATCTTATTTCTTATGCTGTGGGTTATGTCAGTAGTATGGTTACTTATGTTAATACTTAAGGATACTGACTAAGTCTTCTTCATTCTTCCACTTATTATCCAGGCACGTAAAGAAGCATACTCAATTCTGGTTAAAACTCACAGTACTTTATTGAACACACTTTATACTGATAATATTAATGATAATCATTGCATGAATGTAATTTCACATATATATATATAGTATTATTCCATCATTCAGAAAGACACGTCCTCACACTACTATAACTCAGCTAATCACACAGCTCTCCTAGCTCTACTGTTCTCTACTGCTCTGCGCTTAGCTCTGACTATCTCAGTCAACTCATACTTTATTACCATCAAAGCGTGGAAGACAACCGCTCTTACAAAAACATAATTTTACTCTCCAAAAACGTGGAGCTCACATTTGCTTCTCAAAATACAATCCATTGTCCTAGTGGAAAAACATGGTCTACACCATTCACTGTTCACTCATGCTACCTCTCTGTTTTCATGTGAAAACATTGTCCGTTACAGTATCTACATGACAAGGATAATGTTACATAGCAATATCTGCCTCACTTGGTTGAACATGCTTTTAACAAAGACGTTTTTAATATCAGACCAATAGGGACTTTGGGTAAACAAGAATATAAAGGTTTAAAAAGAGGATGGAAGGAGAACAATTAATAAATGATGGAATCTCTCTGTGAGAAGAAAACAGTAGGGTGATGTTGGATTATATTTACTGCATTCATTCTAAGCCCCACATCAGATCATCACGATCAAGGAAGTTGCAGATATGTTTTGGGCTGTTCAAACCAAGTGAACAAGAGTTATTTGTGTCCTTTCCAAAACTAAACTCTTTTATGATAATCATCAGAAGGTGAACTTTAAAAAAATAGTACCATGGCTTAGGAGATATCTAAAGGCAGCTGATATTGAATTTTACAATTATTGATGTTTTGAAATTCATAACTAAATGTGACACATTTTTGGACTTCCTAGAATATCTTCTAATAGTCTTGCTAAGCCTTCAATTGGTTCGCACAATCTTTTTGTGGCTTCATGTGAGCGGAATATTTCAAAAGTAAGGCTTCTCAAGAACGATAGGACAGTCAGGCATTCTGATCTGTCTCTATTTTCATTTGAAAGTGATATAGTGAAGGATGTTGCTTTTTTTAACGTCATTAATGTGTTTGCAGCTTTGAAGACCAGGAATGGAACATTTTAATGAAGAAAATTTGATTAAACAATAACTTAAGTTGCGCACCTGCCCATGTTCTTACAGTTCTTAACTACATTTACCTCCTGAACTTCAATTAATTTGTTTTGTATTTTTTATCATTAATCTTATAATGTGGACTTATTTTAGAAGAATAAATCCATTCTGAAAGTCGGTTGGGGAGGGGAAGTGGGGTAAGAAGGGGAGACACCTTGAGTTTACGGCACCGGGTGACACCAGTTCTAGCTACGCCGCTGCTCTTACCTTTGTCCACTATGGCATAGAGGCATAGACACAATGATGGACTCAGCCGCTGCTCTTACCTTTGTCCACTATGGCATAGAGGCATAGACACAATGATGGTCTCAGCCGCTGCTCTTACCTTTGTCCACTATGACATAGAGGCATAGACACAATGATGGACTCAGCCGCTGCTCTTACCTTTGTCCACTATGACATAGAGGCATAGACACAATGATGGACTCAGCCGCTGCTCTTACCTTTGTCCACTATGGCATAGAGGCATAGACACAATGATGGACTCGTCGTCTATATTTGTTTTACATTCATCTACCACTCAAACAAGGGATAAGATCTTTGACTTGAACTACATAGCCATATACATGGGCAGGGGCGTAATTTAAGTAGGTTTAGTTGCAACTACATATCCATATTCGTGAGCAGGGCCATACCTTAATTAAGTAAAGCGCAAGCTACATAGCCCTATACTTGAGCAGGGGCGTACCTTAAGTAAGTAAAGCTTGAGGTACATAGCCCTATACGTGAGCAGGAGCGTGCCTTAAATAGGTTTTGTTGGAGCGGTGTTTAAGTAATAAGTGTCAAATTATTTCTTGACTTAACAGAAACGGTCTTAAGCCCTGATAGTTATGACATATTGACTTTAGAGTCATAGATGCGCCTTCAGTCATAATGGCTCTAACATATTAACTTTAAATTTTATGCCAACATAATTTCTTTAAAATGTCATGTTGATGCATTGACTGTTGATTGAGCTCATAGTTCGCCTTACAGAGATAAGAATCTAGAACTTTGAGAATGTTGCTTTCTCGTGACTCAAACATTCTTAAGACCCACATGAAGGCTGATAATCTACAAAGTTAATCAAAGTGTTCGTTTCCCTGTACTTGCCTTCTTTACCCCAACACGAGGTGACGCGGAGGTATACAAAGAGAACAAGATTAATAACATGCTAATACGTTATATCATTGTTCTTGCCTCGGCGACCATTGCCCTAGCAGTATTAGATTGCCCAACAACGGTAAGATAATGTAAGCCTTTCATTTGTGACTGATATACTATGGCATTAATAGATTTATTGCTACAAAAATTAATAAGCCTTGGCTCACACAAAATGTGAACTGTTATAAGCTTATAGATCTTGGAACATATAAAGTGAACCAATATAAGTTGACCAATTTTTTCATCAAAATATAAAATATTATAAGTTGAAAGACCTTGTCACAAAAAATGTGAACTGTCATAAGATGACAGATCTTGTCACAAACAATGTGAACTATAAAAAATGACAGATCTTGTCACAAACAATGTGAACTATTATAAGTTGACAGACCTTGTCACAAACAATGTGAACTATTATAAGTTGACAGACCTTGTCACAAACAATGTGAACTATTATAAGTTGACAGATCTTGTCACAAACAATGTGAACTATTATAAGTTGACAGATCTTGTCACAAACAATGTGAACTATTATAAGTTGACAGACCTTGTAACAAACAATGTGAACTATTATAAGTTGACAGATCTTGTCACAAACAATGTGAACTATTATAAGTTGACAGATCTTGTCACAAACAATGTGAACTATTATAAGTTGACAGATATTGTCACAAACAATGTGACCTATTGTAAGTTGACAGACCTTGTCACAAACAATGTGAACTATTATAAGTTGACAGATCTTGTCACACATAACGTAAACTATTATAAGTTGACTGATATGGTCACAAACAATAAGAACCATCATAAGTTGACATATCGTGTCACACTTTAAATAACATTAATTTAATAACCTTTTTTTCACACACCATATTATAGGAATGCGACTGTTTTGATTTTGCCATCCAGTGTAACAACAAGGGTCTTCACAGTATTCCAAAGTTTACACAAAGTGTTAATATCTTAGGGGACCTTGACCTCTCAGTAAGTTTAAACTCTCAGTCTGAATGCAAAGTTACAACTGCATCATGTTTTCTTTTATAGTGGTTTTTTTTTCTTTGTCATTTTTTTTAAACAGAAGATGAACTTTCTGTTCCGTGATGTCTTAGATATGATGCATAAAAAAAATGACTAAAAATTATTAATTCTGTTTAGCTTGCAACTACATAGCCATATACATGAGCAGGGGCGTACCTTAAGTAAGTAAAGCTTGAGGTACATAGCCCTATACGTTTTAAAAATAACCATTTATTAAGTAATGTTATTTTTTTATTGCCCATTACGCTCCAAACTATAAAGATCTAGGGCACGGGTCTCCAAACTATAAAGATCTAGGGCACGGGTCTCCAAACTATAAAGATCTAGGGCACTGGTCTCCAAACTATAAAGATCTAGGGCACGGGTCTCCAAACTATAAAGATCTAGGGCACGGGTCTCCAAACTATAAAGATCTAGGGCATGGGTCTCCAAACTATAAAGATCTAGGGCACGGGTCTCCAAACTATAAAGATCTAGGGCACGGGTCTCCAAACTATAAAGATCTAGGGCACTGGTCTCCAAACTATAAAGATCTAGGGCATGGGTCTCCAAACTATACAGATCTAGGGCACGGGTCTCCAAACTATAAAGATCTAGGGCATGGGTCTCCAAACTATAAAGATCTAGGGTAGTCAGATTTCGTTGTTTCTTGTAACTGGTAATGCAGGAGAGTTCTTTCATCTAGCATTTTATTTACTGTTATTTATTTATCCTATTTTTTATGTGGTCAGATTGAATTAGCTATCTTTATGTTTCCCCACCGCTAAATAGCGACTTGCATTTATTCCATTTATTGAAGAGGATTTTCACTTCTTCTTCTATATATTAAGGGCCCACGATCAATTTATTGATCATTTTAGCTCCTATACATGGAGAGGGGATTTGCAATGTTTTTGTGCCTGGTGCTGATGAGGATATTTCAATGATTACAAGTGCTACTTTGAGAAGGAATCATGTAATGGGGGTTGGAAGGCTTGAGGCAATAGACGCAAATGTGTCTAGTGTTGTCGCCTCAACTGTTTCTTTTGAAAGCTTGTTCCAGTCCCTGATGGTCTTGGGTAGGAATGAACAATTCCTATACTGGCTTCTTGCTGGTATGAGCCGGAAGTGCCTGTCATGGCCTCGTCACTCTCTATGGGGGAGAGGGACGAGTTTCTGTTTAATACTGGATTGTCGTCAGGAATTAAAGTTCAAAGCAGATATTTCACGATAAGTTTAGCCAAACAGAATTGATATAATAATATCTCTTGAGACTTTCTTAATATTTCTTATTTGCGGCGTCCACAGTTTGTTTAAATATTCGCAAATTATAACTCCTTTTAATTACTTAAATTCGCACAAACACACACATATATATATATGTATATATATATATATATATATATATATATATATATATATATATATATATATATATATATTTTTATAGAGAGAGAAAGACCGATAGATAGATAGATGGATGGATGGATGGATGGATGGATGGATGGATGGATGGATGGATGGATGGATGGATGGATGGATGGATGGATGGATGGATGGATGGATGGATAGATGAATGGATGGATGGATGGATGGATGGATGGATGGATATATAGAAAGAATATATACTGCAATGATCGTTTTTACGTGACAACAATTGCAAAATTGATCCATAAAATAATATAATTGTATAAATTAATTTTCTTTCAGAACAATGCTATCGCGATATTATCTGACAATAGTGTGCCTGCTGGAATGGACTCAATCAACTTTAATAACAATCCAATCACAAGCATCTCCAACGGAGCATTCAGAAACTCAGCCACTACCTTATCCAGTATTCATTTCTCTAACGCCCTCTTTACGAGATTACCCGACGCCCTAGCTACACTGAATGCTTTGATTGACCTTGACATCAGTCAAATGCGCATTTTAGATTGGAATACCAACGTCCTCAGACACGCCGGAGCCACGGTGAACACATTACGTTTGATGAATGTTGGTCTGACGTCATGGCCGTCTTGGATGACATACTTTACAGCAGTGAGCAGGCTTGATCTGAGTGAAAATGCTATAACAAGTTTGCCAGACAACGCTTTTAGTCAGTTGGCAAGTCAGCTGATCACCGTCAAGTTAAGTGCTGCCAATTTAAACCACGTCCCACGTGCAGTGACGTCACTACCGGCCGTACTCCTGTTAGACCTTTCGCAAAATCACATTCCGATCATTACAGGAGTTCCCTCCCATGCCACGTCTCTCAACTTTAGCTTCAACTTGATCACAGAGCTGCGAGACAACAGCTTTGCGAGAAACACCGCCTTCCACAGCCTAGACCTCAGCAATAACCCCATCACCAGAATCTCCAACAACGCCTTCCTTCCTATCATCTCCATGAGAAATCTTTTCCTGAGGAACACAAAACTGACCAGGATGCCGCTGGCCATCCTGACGCTGACTAACCCGTCGTGGATTGCCCTTGAGGGGAACACTGACCTCGTGTGTACGTGCAGTGAGAAGGCATTGACCCTTTACATGACCTCTCATCCATATCTGTATGTCTATGGTATGTGCCATCAGGAGAAAATCGATACGTTCTTCAAAGTTATTGCGAAAAACTGTCCTTAAAGTCTCGTATACCGAATAGGACCAGTCCTTAAAGTCTCGTATACCGAATAGGACCAGTCCTTAAAGTCTCGTATACCGAATAGGACCAGTATAATCATACCAAAAATGACTGTATGTAGTTTAAATTAAACATGATATATTTGGAGAACCCTTTAAGGGCACGTTTCAAATGAATACTGAAATCTTCTAATTCATATCTTATTATTCCTAATCTTTCCTTCTCTCTTTATCCGTTATTCTTCTATCATGCGTCAACCACTGTCACTGTCCTGTTAATCTCTCTTACACTCCTCTACACCGACAATATCTATCTCACTACTTCTCTCTTTATCTCTCTCTCTCTTTCTCCTGACCTTTCCCTATCTGTCCCTCTCTCTCTGTCTATTTCTGTCTGTCTCTCTCTCTCTGCCTATTTCTCTCTCCGTCTCTTTCTCTGTATCTCTCTTTTACTCTCTATCTTTCTATCTCTCCTTTTCTCTTTCTCTTCTTATCTGTCTCTCTCTTTTTTCTCTCTCTCTTTTCCCCTCTTTCTCTCTCATATTCTCTCTCTGTCTTTCCCTTTTTCTGTCTCTCCGTCCCTCTATTTCTATCTCTCTCTTTTTCTATCCCTCTATCTCTCTATCACTTTATCTCTTTCTTGTTCTCTTTAACTCCCTAAATTTTGTTAATGTAAATCTCTCGTTCACTCTAAATGTCTGAGAAGACGGTCATGACAAGGTTTTGATTGTAAAGAAAGTACTTCAATATTGACTTAATTATATGAGAATAAATTAGAGGCTTTTGTTTGGAAGAATAACATATTCAACATCCTTACTTAGTTACACTCATGATGTTTAATCAGTAAAATAAAGCATCAGTTTAAAAAAAAGATCTATTTGCCAGATTTATTATTACACTTACATCTTAGTATTAACTTCACCTTTGGCCTGTGTTTCTGTGTTAACGTTCATTTTTATGACGGCTCATTGACATACTTCCTGACGTCCTATCAAAATGAAACCTAGACTCTTTGCAGATGACAATAAATTCTATAAAATTTTGAGCCGAACTCGTAAAATTCAGTTTTTCCTGTTTTTTAAGGGTAAGGTGAAGAGATTATGATGACACTGATTTCATGAAATAATATTTCCGATAACTGCGCAAAAAAAGATTATTACAAATATCGCAATTGCTTTTCATGAATATTATTGCCTTTTATTTTACGGAACTAGTCGGTACAATAAATATGCGTTGTAAAAGCGGGTGAGACATTATTATATCAATATCAAATAAAATTTAAAAAATGCATTTGAAGGATTGTTGAGACTCCACACCACAACGTACATCAGGGAAATTCACTTCCGTTCCCGGTCTGAGAAGCCACGAAGGACAAAACTGGAGGATCCACTTAACAAAAGACGTGACGTCACACAATGATAGATTTTTTACGATCATCGATTGTATTTATATTAATAAAATATTTGCCAATGGTCAGAACACTTTTGTCTTAATGCAATACCATTTTTAATGATGAAATGTAAGGCTATAATGTGAGACCGATATTCATAGTCATGAGCTAATATGTGTTTTTATAGTCAATGTCATTAGACCAACATCGATAGTCATTGGGTGAATACCCACAGTCATTTCGTTAATGTCCATAGCCATTAGGCCAGTACCCATAGTCATTAAGCCAATTCTATTATTATTATAATTATTATTATTACAGTAGTCTTATATAGCGCGATAACCTAGCCTAGAGTTGGGCTCACCGCGCTTCACATACAAATTTTTTAAAATAATAATGACAGTTACATAAATTTATTATTAAAAACTGCTTTGTAACATATTGACCTGGTCCACCAAAGATTTATTCACTTGTCAAGCAACGGGCGGTATCCAGCAGCATCGGGCATTGTTAATCGATCGGATTGTGGTAAGAATCAATGGGGATAGTAAAGTTGGAAGAGATGTATCTTGGGTGAAGTTTTGAAGGCCTAGATGGTCGATATAATGCGGATTTGTAATGCGTGAGAACTATATTGTCATTAGGCCTATATCCAAAGCATTAGGCCAATTGCGATAGTCATTAGACCAATATACATAGTTACTCAGTCAATATCCATTGTCATTAGGCCAAATGCCATAGTCATTAGGCCAATATCTATTGTCATTAGACTAATATCCATAGTTATTAGACCAATATACATAGTCATTAGGGTAATATCCATAGTCAATTGGCCAATATCCATGGTCATTGGACCAACATCGATAGTCTTTAGGTCAATACCCCCAGACATTAGACCAATATATATATATATAGTCATTCGGATAATATCCATGGTCATTTGGCCAATATCCATAATAATTTAGCCAATATCCATAGTCATTAGGCTAATATAAAAAGTCATTATGCCAATATCCAATGTTATTTGTCCAATCTCCATAGTAGTTCGCCCAACATCCGTAGTCATTAGGTAAATATTCATAGTCACTAAGCTAATATCCATGGTCATAAGGCATATATCCACAGTCCTTAGGCCAATATCTATAGTCATTATCCCTGTATGCATGATCATTTCAGCTTAGATTGTCAAGTTATATGCAGTGTTTGTTCTAGGACTTATTACAAGCTTTGATTTCTATTCTGTTTAGATTTGTGATTTCTGTGAAGGTTTGTAAATAAATAAGTTCATTTTAATTGATGAAAATGTAGATATAAGGCTTTTGAATTACATATAAGAGTAGATAAATGAAATTACGTCCCTTTGTGTGAATACAAACATGAAAACCCCTGGATACGAGAAGGTGATAACAGATACGAGCAGGTGATAACAGATACGAGCAGGTGATAACAGATACGAGTAAGTAATAACAGATGTGAGTAGGTGATAACATATACGAGCAGGTGATAACAGATGCAAGTACGTGATAACAGATACGAGCAGGTGGTAACAAATGCGAGTACTTGATAACAGATACGAGCAGGTGATAGAAGATACGAGTAAGTTATAACAGATGCAAGTATGTGATAACAGATACGAGCAAGTGGTAACAAATGCGAGTACTTGATAACAGATACGAGAAGGTGATAACAGATACGAGAAAGTGATAACAGATACGAGCAGGTGATAACAGATACGAGTAAGTGATAACAGATACGAGTAGGTGAAAACAGATACGAGCAGGTGATAACAGATACGAGTAGGTGAAAACAGATACGAGCAGGTGATAACAGATGCGAGTACTTGATAACAGATACGAGCAGGTGATAACAGATACGAGTAAGTGATAACATATACAAGCAGGTGATAACATATACGAGTAAGTGATAACATATACGAGCAGGTGATAACAGATACGAGTAAGTGATAATATATACGAGCAGGTGATAACAGATGCAAGAATGTGGTAACAGATAAAAGCAGGTGATAACAGATGCAAGTACTTGATAACAGATACGAGCAGGTGATAACAGATGCAAGTACTTGATAACGGATACAAGCAGGTGATAACAGATGCAAGTACTTGATAACAGATACGAGCAGGTGATAACAGATGCAAGTACTTGGCAACAGATACAAGAAGGTGATAACAGATACGAGCAGGTGATGACAGATACGAGAGTAAGTGATAACAGATGCGAGTAGGTGATAACATATGCGAGCAGGTGGTAACAAATGCGAGTACTTGATAACAGATACGAGCAGGTGATAGAAGATACGAGTAGTTGAAAACAGATACGAGCAGGTGATAACAGATGCGAGTACTTAATAACAGATACGAGCAGGTGATAACAGATACGAGTAAGTGATAACATATACGAGCAGGTGATAACAGATACGAGTAAGTGATAACAGATACGAGTAGTTGAAAACAGATACGAGCAGGTGATAACAGATGCGAGTACTTAATAACAGATACGAGCAGGTGATAACAGATACGAGTAAGTGATAACATATACGAGCAGGTGATAACAGATACGAGTAAGTGATAACAGATACGAGCAGGTGATAACAGATACGAGTAAGTGATAACAGATGCGAGTAGGTGATAACAGATACGAGTAGTTGATAACAGATACGAGTAAGTGATAACATATACGAGCAGGTGGTAACAAATGCGAGTACTTGATAACAGATACGAGAAGTTGATAACAGATACGAGTAAGTGATAACAGATACGAGCATGTGATAACAGATACGAGTAAGTGATAACAGATACGAGTAGGTGAAAACAGATACGAGCAGGTGATAACAGATACGAGTAGGTGAAAACAGATACGAGCAGGTGATAACAGATGCGAGTACTTGATAACAGATACGAGCAGGTGATAACAGATACGAGTAAGTGATAACATATACAAGCAGGTGATAACATATACGAGTAAGTGATAACATATACGAGCAGGTGATAACAGACACGAGTAAGATGATAACAGATGCAAGTATGTGATAACAGATACGAGCAAGTGGTAACAAATGCGAGTACTTGATAACAGATACGAGAAGGTGATAACAGATACGAGAAAGTGATAACAGATACGAGCAGGTGATAACAGATACGAGTAAGTGATAACAGATACGAGTAGGTGAAAACAGATACGAGCAGGTGATAACAGATACGAGTAGGTGAAAACAGATACGAGCAGGTGATAACAGATGCGAGTACTTGATAACAGATACCAGCCGGTGATAACAGATACGAGTAAGTGATAACATATACAAGCAGGTGATAACATATACGAGTAAGTGATAACATATACGAGCAGGTGATAACAGATACGAGTAAGTGATAACAGATACGAGCTGCTGATAACAGATACGAGTAGGTGATAACAGATACGAGCAGGTGATATCAGATACGAGTAAGTGATAACAGATGCGAGTAGGTGATAACAGATACGAATAAGTGATAACAGATACGAGTACGTGATAACATATACGAGCAGGTGATAACAGATGCAAGTACGTGATAACATATACGAGCAGGTGATAACAGATGCAAGTAGGTGATAACAGATTCGAGCAGGTGATAACAGATGCGAGTAGGTGATAACAAATACGAGCAGGTGATAAAAGATACGAGTAAGTGATAACAGATACGAGCAGGTGATAACAGATACGAGTAAGTGATAACAGATACGAGCAGGTGAAATCAGATACGAGTAAGTGATAACAGATACGAGCAGGTGATAACAGATGCGAGTAAGTGATAACAGATGCGAGTACGTGATAACAGATACAAGCAGGTGATAACAGATGCGAGTACTTGATAACAGATACATGCAAGTGATAACAGATGCAAGTACTTGATAACAGATACGAGCAGGTGATAACAGATGCAAGTACTTGATAACAGATACAAGCAGGTGATAACAGATGCAAGTACTTGATAACAGATACGAGCAGGTGATAACAGATGCAAGTACTTGATAACAGATACGAGCAGATGATAACAGATGCGAGTACTTGATAACAGATACAAGCAAGTGATAACAGATGCAAGTACTTGATAACAGATACGAACAGATGGTTACAGATGCAAGTAGGTGATAACAGATACGAGCAGGTGATATCAGATGCGAGTAGGTTGAAAAAAAAAACGAGCAGGTGATAACAGATGCGAGTACTTGATATCAAATACGAGCAGGTGATAACATATGCGAGTAGGTGATAACAAATACGAGCAGGTGATAACAGATACGAGTAGGTGATAACAAATACGAGCAGGTGATAACAGATGCGAGTAGGTGATAACAAATACGAGCAGGTGATAACAGATGCAAGTAGGGGATAACAGATACGAGCAGGTGATAAGAGATGCGAGTAGGTGATAACAAATACGAGCAGGTGGTTACAGATACGAGCAGGTGATAACAGATACGAGTAGGTGAAAACAGATACGAGCAGGTGATAACAGATAC